AGATGCACATTTTCACACACATGCCGATCAGACGTGGTTTGCGTCATGTGTTGTGTTTGTGTACATCCTACTGTCCTTCTGTGTTCTGTAAATTATGCAAACGATTAGCTTAGCATGCAGGAAGGATTCTGATGAAAACATATAATTTACTATTACTATGAGATGGACTTCCTCTGTTTCTGTTCGTCTCTCCACATTTGGCCAACTGCATGAACACAGTTTGCTCATCTTTCCCGCGACACCACAGCGGTACAGCTGTGTGTGTGTGTGTGTGTCCGGGTTCTGCCAGGCCTGGTCCGAAACCAAACCCAAGTGTCAGCTGCGGCCTCCGTTCTCGATGGTTCTACCAGACCCCGAGTCACAGAGTTCAGCCGGACAGATAAACGCTGTCCCTTTAAGAGCCGCCGCTGGACCCGGCCTGTCTGCCCCGGTGTCTGTGTTTTTCAGTACAACGGGCCCAAAACATTCCCTCTTTCTGCGCTGCAACTAGAGCGTTACTTTTGAGAAGCCGACTATACGATTTTCCATGTGGGAGACGCACGAGAAAACATCCCGGGGTTTTTCTTGCTGCTGTTGTTGTTGAGTCATTACGGCGTGTTTCCACTCACTCAGGAGTCGCAGAGGGGAAACAATGATTTGATGTGAATTATTTAAAAAAAAAAATAAAATAAAAAGGCTTGATAAGATGGAAACTAGGAGGAGCTCTGGTGTGTAATAGGTCGTTTGGATCCGTCAGGGTGGAGGGCAAAAGCCAGACGACGACCAGAACGGTGCCCCTGGGAGTGTTTGGTAAATGGCCCGGCTGGTTGGAGCGAGGGAGGGGGGGGGACGTCGGGGCGCAATTTGGGCAACCATGTGTATGTGTGGTTGCTTCCTGGAGAGGGGGATTATAATAAGAGTTGCATAAACAAAGAATTAAAGCAGAGCGAGCTTACAAATGGCAGTTCATGCGGAGCTTGCATGGTCCCGGCGGGGGAACAACAGCATCCTTTGTTGGCTGTTCCCGGGGCACAGAGCTGCTTTAAAAAGGTGCCTTGTTTGATGTCGACTCCGGGAGCCGCGGCTCTGATTGGGACGCTTCCAAATTTATCTAATGACCCGGTGCCATCCTCCGCTCTAATCTGATTTGCGGCAAATTAGATGACAAATTTGCCCCAATTTGTGTCCCGTAAATAGTAAAATCTCTGGTGTTGGAAGTTTTTCCTGACAAAAAAAACCCCAAATACTGAATTTTTTAGGTATGTCAAGGCTGGAAGTGAAACTAAAAAGAGGGATTATGCTCTTTTGAGAGAGCTTCGAGGGTCCCTTTTCTCTGTTTGGCCCGCCACGGCTCGGCTTTTGTGGATGAATTTCCTGAAAGGCTGCTGTCGAGGCCCTCGTCGCTCTGCATGTGTGTGGCTGCGATTACGTGCACGAGCACATGTTTGCAGCGAGAGGGAGAGAAAAAAAAACAAAACAAAACAGAGGAGTGACTGTCGGGGGAGCTGCAGCTGGCGTTTCACTCGTTTTGTCGTTTCCCGTCGCAAGCGATGGCGCGACAGAAGCAATCGAGGCGAAGGATGAGAAAGCGCTCTCCTGTGCTAATAAAAATCAAGCAGGCGCAGATGTTGGGGAGAGATTGTGTAATCTAATTTCACTCCTGGAAGCCTATGGATTTATTACGGGACTTATCAAATTAATTGAGAGAATTATACAGATTTACCTCGGCTCGTTGAGTGAATTGCGAGCGTCTGCCTTCGAGAAAACCGACACTTTCTGCCGCCGCCGTCGTGTCACTGTGAAGTCTGTCGTTATCGGCAGAACATTCGCTCGGATTGCTTCCACGTCATTTTACAGTTTGGAGCAAAAGTTTACCTCCGCTTGTAAACGCCGAAGAGTCTCAAACATTTCCTGCAGCTCTTAATTTTCTCAAAATTAATGTTGCAAGAACGAAGCAGCGCCTTAAAGCTCGACCGAAGTTTGCTGCTGATCGCACGGATAAAGAAAAGGCCTTCTGGAGGAAAGTTCTGTGGTCAGATGGAACAAAAACTGAGTTGTTTGTAAGTTTGGAGGAGAGGAAGTGAGGCCTTTAACCCCCAAGAACTCCAAATGTAGCATCGAGCACGGAGGTGGCAGTATCATGCTCTGGTGATTCACACAAAGTAAATGAAAAATCATCAGCCAGAAGGTTGGTCTTGGAGAGAGTTTGATGTTTCAGCAAGACAAAAATGATAAAGAAATGTTTAATTATGAGGGTTTTGGACTGGTCCCCCCAAAGTCCTGACCTGAACCCATCAAGAACTCGTGGTCTGGGATGAAGAAACAAGTTAGTTCAGGAATATATTTAGTGTAGCAGCACTAATTCTGTCAAGAGGAGGGTCACAGATATCAGCAGGAGCTTGTAGGCGGCTACAGAAAGAACCTAATCGAAGCAAAAATGACCAAAATATATTAAACAAGTTGTTAGAGAATTTGTCATTTTCTAGAAGATCTATGATAAATTCATGAAAGAAGCTAAATGCATGGACAAAGATTCATGTGTTTAAGAGTCATCTGATCTCATTGGAAACTCAAGATTGCCGCCGTTAATACAGCCGTATGTAAACTTTTGAGAATATAAGAAAATCCTCATTTAACATAAAGAACGTCTTTTGATTGTCACAAGTCTGACTCGTGTCTAAAGCAGACGACAGAACAAACCACAAACTCACAACATGAAGCTGCCCACGAACAGAACTGAAACGTACATCCTAAATTCCACTGAACAGATTCATCCTTGTTGTTTGAAACGGCCACGTCATCCCCGGTGCCGGCCCACGCCACGCCGGCCGTCGCCCGGCATTCCTGCCTCATACCGCTCGGTCCTGCTCTGATAACTGCACGCACAAGCATCCGTGGTATTCGTCTGTTTTGCTTTCTCCACAACCAGTCGGTTTGCTCTGTCGTCCCGGAGGCCTCGGAGGAACGAGACGAACACGCCTTCGCCTCCGTTTGTTCTGCCGATCTGATCTCGCTGCGTGTTTTCTCTGCAGGCTGACGTGCTCGCCGTGCGCCGGACTCTGTCCCAAGCTGTGCGTGGGGAACAAGACCATCGACTCGGTGACTTCGGCGCAGGCGTTGAGAGGCTGCACTGTTCTGCACGGCAACATGATCATCAAGATTCGAGGAGGGAGTGAGTACTACCACTGCTATACCTGCCTGGCCTCCTGCAGCTCCTTCTTCCTCCATTATTAGGTTTCTCTCCTCCCCGTTAAGCATCTCCACGTCCACTTGATGTGTGAATAAACATCCTGCTGGCTTTTCTGTAAAAGCAGCGACGACGGCCTCCCTGAGTGGGAACTGGTGATATTTAGGATTCAACACGGTGCACACAAGCAGCACACTTTGAGTTTTCTGATGAAATGATTTAAGGAAGATGTTTTTTTTCCCACATTTCAGCACCAATATTGATCCAAAAACATCCCAGAGAGGGAAAATAACACCTTCTGTTCATCTATTAGACTACAAATGTAAAACATCCATAAAAATAAAACTTTACAGAGACTTTACAGACAGCTCATACTATATGATGATGTTATTATATAACACATGTTGGTCCAAAAACACCACAAACAGCAAAAACAACACAGTTCAACCCCTTACATGCATGTGTCGGGATCAAACTTGACCTGTTTTGACATTTAGCAGCATTAAAAACACCTTAAACGTCATTATTTTGGCCTGAAATTTGTCGTAAAGTGACCCAAAATACACAAAAATGAAATTTTCAAGTTCTAATTTTGTACAGGTGCTACAAATTTTTGAGTCAAATTCGACCCGTTTCCACATTTGACAGCCATAAAAACACCCTAGACGTTGTTCTTTGGGGATATTTTGGATCAAATGTGACCCATTTATCCATTGAGATGGATTTTAGATCCACCATTTGTGGGTCAAATCAAGGAAAATGACAGTTTTTAGGGAATCTGGAAACTGAAACTGTACAGGCCATGTTTTATGTACATTTTTTATTTACATTTATTAATGTGACATTCTAAATACATCTGTCGTTTAAAATTTGGTATCGACACTATGAGGGGATTCTGGACGGGCATAAAATATGAACAGCATGTCATAAAACAGAATAGAATATCCGTATTAGTCCCACAAGGGGAAGTTTGTAACGCCACAGCAGCAAAGTGACGGTAAGAAAAGCAAGAACACACAACACTAAATGAAAGATGCGAGATATATACGCTATATATACAAGATAAATAAGGAAATCAGAAGAACACAAGGCTACTAAGAACACAGATTTAAGAATATTTACTGCAGAAGACCTTTCTTATTCACTTTGCTCTTTACAATTTCACATTTATTTAGCGACAGCCATGGACAGACTTCTGAATGAACTCAGCTGTTAGCTTCATGAAAAATGTCGTCTGCTAATATTGACGTTGTTTGACCGGCCGTGCTCCTCCTCGCAGACAACATCGCGGCCGAGCTGGAGTCCAGTCTGGGCCAGCTGGAGGAGATCACGGGCTACCTGATGGTCCGCAGGGCTTACGCTCTGGTGTCGCTGTCCTTCCTCCGGAAACTACGCATCATCAGGGGGGAACATCTGGAGGGAGAGTAAGTCCTGGTTTGGTCGTACCTCCTCAACCCTTATTAATCAGCCTTTAATGCTCGTATATTCTGGTGTTGCATTGATGTAGAGACAGACAGCGACTGAATATTAACTCTTTCTCACCGTTAGTGTCACTTCTGCGAATTTTAAATGTCAATCTTGTTCATTTAATTGTGGGAAAACAAAACCGTGATTATGATTAATGTAAAGCATTTTGCAGCCCTGGTTCTGAGTTTGGAACACGTTAACTGCTAAATACATCCACGTGTCAGGCAGTGAAGGAGACAAAGTAGATGCAGCCGCTTGAAATCTACACTTTCATATTTATAAGATGTTCCCTACATCCTGATTAATTTCTGTCCCTTGCAGCATCCACGCCTTCTACGCGCTGGACAACCAGAACCTCCGCGAGCTGTGGGACTGGTCCAAGCACAACCTGACCATCCAGCGCGGCCGCATGTTCTTCCACTACAACTCCAAGCTGTGCATGTCCGAAATCAGAAAGATGGAGGAGGTGACGGGCACCAAGGAGCGCAACAAGAAGACCGACATCGCCGTCCGCAACAACGGCGACCAGGCCTCCTGTAAGACACTGAAAACTGTTTGTGGGATCGAGTTCACGACGTTACCAACATTCGTTTTGTTTCTTTAAGTTCTTAATGTTTTATTCTTTCAGCACAAGACTGAGTTCAGTTCTCTTAATTTATCGTGTTGTAGAGTTAAAGTACGCAAACTTGTGGAAAAACATTAAAATAATGTTTTGATGGAGGTCATCTGTAAATGCACAAAAATGCTAAAACTGTTCAGAAACATATTGATTTGAAATCGGCAGATTCACAACTTTAATCCTCTGAACCCCAAAACCTGTTTGCAGGTTAGAAAATACACGTTATGTTTAAAAAAATAAAATAAAATCACACCATTTATAAGGGACAGAAACTATAAAAAGAGAGTCAATCATCTGATTTTTAACTTTGTAAAGGTCCCGAAATCGAAGCTTAGCATCATTGTTTTTAATCATGTCTCTCTTTTTTTTTTAATTGCCAGAAATAGTCAGTTTTAAATAACAAGATTCTGTAAAACTGAGTCACGTGCCGAAAAATCCTGGACTTTTTGGTTGTGTTTGTGCAGAGCAGGTAGGAGACGAGTGTCCGTCGTCAAAGTAATTCAATTTTAGTTTAGTTTTTTTTTAATCATGGCAAGATGACTGTATGATCAAAATACATTCCTGAGTTCTCTCTACTGTCTAGTCATGGCTGTTCTGTTCTCTCCACAGAGGTACAGGACTTTATATTGTCATAAAAAGTGACCCCAGAAGCAAAAAAAATCCCATAACTGCTAGAACACAAACCAGGACTAAAATAACAGCTGCATACGAAGAGGTTTCTGTCCCGTGTTGAGTTTTGTTCCGTTTTGTTTCCCAGGTGAGACGAAGCTGCTGAAGTTCACGGTGATCAAGACGACGTTCAACATGATCATGCTGAAGTGGGAGCCTTTCTGGCCGTTGGACTTCAGAGACCTGCTGGGGTTTATGGTTCTCTACAAAGAGGCGTAAGTGCAGCTCGACTCATCCCAGAGTGGATTACAAAATAAAATGGAATCAGTCAGCAGCCGAGGGGAATTCTGGGCGTTCCTCGACCATCTCTGCTGCCTTCGATGCCCTCCGTCGTGATATTGTGATAAACTAGGGACTCAATCAGGAAAATAAATCAGAGGAAGCATCCAGACAAACAACAGCTCATTCACAAAGCAGCAAACAGCTGAAACTCTATTTTTAATAATTTGACTTCCAGGTAAATTTCTGACCCAATTTGGTTCAGAGCTCTCAGGTCGTCAGGGATTCTGTTCTTGTATGTTTTTGTTGTAGTTATCACTCGTTGTCTAACTGAGCTCCATGCCATACTTCTGTTTCGCTGATTCGTTTCTCTCTTCGCTGCAGGCCGTACAAGAACGTGACGGAGTTCGACGGACAGGACGCCTGCGGCTCCAACAGCTGGGCGATCGCCGACGTCGACCCGCCGTCTCGCCCCACGGACGGCAAGAAGGCCGAGGACCCGGGTCACCTGATCCGGCCGCTGAAGCCCTGGACGCAGTACGCCATCATGGTGAAAACCCAGCTGTCTGCGTCCGACGAGCACCAAGTCCACGGCGCCAAGAGCGAGATCATCTACGTCCGCACCAACGCCTCCAGTGAGTCGGAGAACGTTAGAGAATCGCTGTTAGCTCAACATTTTGTGAAGGTTTTACTATGAAGTGAGATCAGTTTGTTAGCAGGTTTTCAGTGTCTGATGCTGGACAGCTAACCGGTTCTGGAGGAGGTTCTGTTCAGAGTTTGGGAATCAAACTTTTTCACCCGTTCTCAGCTGAGGTTTTATCTGCAGACCTGTTGAGCTGTACGTTAGTAATCCCACTGAAGTTGACAAACCGCATGCATCAGGTCGCCACTGGAACTGACGTGCATCAATCTAGTTTGTGTTCCGAGTTGCTGCCGCTGCCACAGCTGATAAAACACAGATTAAAAAATGCGTTTGTCTATTAATATTTTCCACAGAGAATATTCAATCAGTGACATTAATTTCTCTTTGATTTGAGCTAAATCTGAACTGATCTCTTCTGTATTGTGGGACAGATCTAAACGCACTTCTTGATGTTTGAACGTATGAAGTTTCAGAGCTCTCATGTGCAGCAGAGAGTCACTGACGGAGAAAATAAACACACATCAACGTACAAGTTGAGCGGTTTTCTACCTGCATTCCTGTCGTGCATCATTCCTCGTAGCTTTCCATCATAACAACCTGCTTATCTCCATGTCGTTGGTTTATTTTGTGGAGAAGAAATCATTTCTGGGAGCATAAACCTGGTTAGCAAAGCTGCTAACCGTCCTCATATCTCTGCTTAAGGTTTTAGGTTTTGTTGAGTCTGTGCTTCACCGTTTACCGTCTGTGTCGTTGAGGAACAGCACGTGTCCCGAATGCTTTTCCTTCCTCATGAATTATTTGCGTCGTGTTTGCATGTTTTCCCTCTTGCGCTGTTTACATCTGTGTTTGCTGAGTCTTCCTCCCGAGTATCACCAGCAAAAGTGAGACCTCCAGCTGTGCCGCGGTTTATTTAGTTTTATAACACGCCAAGAATTTGAACTTGGCCGTATTTGGACGAACCTCGCTGGATGACATAACCTTGTTGTCCAGTAAAAGTTGAGCCTGTTTCACCTTTTTTGTTGTTGTTGTTTTGTCCACTGCGTTGCCTGCTTTCATTCAAATGATTAATATGAGATAATATTTAGTATTTGCAGTGTAACTATACAAAAATGCTACTGAAAGAAGAAATTACAGCATCCAGGGTCTCGTAAATGTACAAAATATTCATGATGTTCTGGTGCGTAGACGTTGCCGCAGAGTGAATCATGACAGTTTTTTTTTCTATGGGAGCAGTTCTGGTTGTTAAAGTGGAGTTCAGGGGCATCGTGTGATTTAACTGAATCCCTGTCCTCCCTCCTCAGAGCCCTCTGTGCCTCTGGACCCCATCTCCTCCTCCAACTCCTCCTCTCAGATCATCCTGAAGTGGAAGCCCCCCACCAGCCCCAACGGCAACATCACCCACTACCGGGTCATCTGCCGCAAGCAGGCCGAGGACAGCGACCTCTCCAAGTTCGACTACTGCCTGCAGGGTTGGTATCCCGGTGTCCGCTCCGGCTCTTTGCCGTTCTCGCTCAGGGTTGTCCGCTCACACCTGTGTCCGCCCGCCCAGGTATGAAGCTGCCGTCTCGAATCCCGACCCACCTGGACAGCGAGGACGAGCAGAAGTGGAACCACACGGACGAGCCCACCCTGGGAGGGAAGTGCTGCGCCTGCCCCAAGACGGACAACCAGCTGAAGAAGGAGCAGGAGGAGATCGAGTACCGCAAGACCTTCGAGAACTACCTGCACAACGAAGTGTTTGAGAGCAGGTGAGACTGCACAGCTCATGACTGGGTCTGAGTATCGCACCAGACCGGGTCGAATACGTAGAACAACAGGAACACGTTTAATTCTTTGCAGCTTATTTGGTGATTTATTTGCTCACATTTTTCACTACAATAGAAAATCCTGCACGTCTATGGAAACCTACATAAACTCTACATGCTATAGATGTGTTCCCACCTACATTTTAATTTTGTTTTCATACTGCGCTGCTCAAACACTGCCTGCAGTTCAGCCTAAAGAGTCCCTGAACTTTTCATCTGTTGGAGTCACTCATGGCTTTAAAGTTGCAGCAAAGAGTTCGGACGGTTTATTTTGTAGGAAATTTTAAATTATATTTTAGTGAAATATTGTGATTTTTAAGCTCAGATTTGCTCAAGTTCGAGTAGACGAGCAGTTCAAGGACCTCCAGAAAGTTGAGAACGTTTCTTTGTGCTTTAACGGTTCCTGACTTTGACAGATGGTGTAATTTTGGTTTTCTTTTATGAAAACACGCCTTTGAAACCTGTCAGCAGGTTTCGGGGTTCACCAGTTTAATGAAGCTTTAATAAATGATTCACAGTTTGACTCTCGTTCCGAGCAGCGTTAACAACCAGCGGATCCGTTTTGTTTTGAATTTCAGGACGTGTTTTCACCGAGATACCAAAAAAAGTTTCCCTCCCAGCCAGACTTTAGGCCGCTTTAAGCTTCGTTCTTGTCACAGTTTCTACTCGCCGTGCGCCAGTTTTGCACCAAGTTTCATGAATCTATTCTTGTTCGAAACCTTTGTGCACCTTCAGAAGTCGGCGCGTTTCGAGGCCGGAGCCTCAAGAGGAGCTTTGTTTGTTTCTGTTGTGACCAGGGAGCCCCTCAGTCCAGCCAAACTCCATCACTCCTCTTTTGTGCGGCCGTCACGTTGCGCGTCTCAAACCGGCTCGGTGCCAACTCCCGACTCCTGCACCTCCGCAGTGTGTGTGTGTGTGTGTGTGTGTGTGTGTGTGGTTTCTGTGGACCCTTGTTTTTGTGCCGGGCACCGCCGTGGGGGGGCTCCGGCTGGGAGGTGTCTGGCCTCCGGTGTCCCCCCCCCTTCCCTCTCTTTACCTTCTCCCCTGACTCACAAACACCCACAGCGGCCGCCTCCGCTGCCCCGGGGGAGCGATTACTGCCCCCATTATCGCTCACGCCAGTCAGGGGTGCAGTCATGCAAACGGCCATTCGGACGCACACAAACACGCAAACTGGCACGCACCTCAGCGGCCGTGTTCCTGAATGGACCAAGGTCAGCCGTAAAGAACTCTTCCTTATTCCGTCACGCAAAGCGGGACCCGCTCGAGTGTTTCTCTTCACGGTGAGCTCACCTCCAACGGGAGCCGCTCAGGGGCAGTTGAGGGTATAAATATTTGATGATGTCCTCAGTGATGCCATGTGTCCTCATACAAAGGGGGGCACCTCGGGTCTTCTGGGTATTATTTTGGTCGGAGCTGGTTTGTGGTTGAAGCGCTCGCTGGCACCACCCGGTGGCCGGAGCCGGTCGCTGCTCCGGCAGTAGCTGGTATTTGTGGGTAAATGTCAGGCAGTCAGACGCTGTAAAGGTTAGTGTGAGCAGAGGTCCATCTGGTATCTGTTGGGTTTTAACAGATCACGCAAAGTTTGTTTCACTTTCCTGCATCAGACCGGATTCATCAGTGAACCGTCACATAAACAACACGCTCATCTACCTGTTGCTGTTTTTCCTGCAGGCCGTCTCGGCGGCGGCGCTCGGTGGGAGTCGCCAACGCCACCCAGCCTCCCCTCTTCCTCACCACCATCCCCAGCCTGCAGTTCGGCTCCACGACGGCGACGCCCGAAGACGGAGACAAGGACCAAGAAGGATCGAAGGTCTGCGGCGCTTCGTGCACTTTGTTTTTCATGTTATTTAGTTCTTGTTTAGACCTGGTTTGCTGATAAGAGCGGAAACTTTTTTCAACAAACTCTGTCCTTTGTTTCCAATTAAAGTTGTTTTTGCATGAAGCCACCACCAGCAGAAGGCGGACGTGATGCTGAAATGGATCTAAAATTGCTTATTTTTCTTCTCTACATGAGAAAAGTAGGTTTTTACGGTAACTCATTCTGCATGTGATATGATTTCTCTGCTCAGGTGGAGTTAAAGGTGTTCTCGAAGGAGTCGACCGTCATCTCCAACCTGCACCACTTCACCAGCTACAAGATCGAGATCATGGCCTGCAACCACCCGACGGACCTCAAGCGCTGCAGCATGGCGACCTACGTCAGCGCCAGAACCATGCCGGAGGGTGAGGAGGACACGTTGACTGCGTTTACATGCTTTTACAGACACGTGCAGACGTCCGTGTAGCTGAAGCATTAGCAGACGATCAGGTTGAACTGAAGCTACAGAAAAAAGTTCACATTTGCACCCAAAAGCACCAAATATGTTCAATTCCCTGTGGTCCATTTTTCTACGTGTGATAAAACGTTTAGAACAAACAGAACACCTGCTGTGACTTTTAACTCTTACATCCATAACGGGTGATTTTCTGTTCATACTTTGATAAATTTAAACATGAATGGGATCCTGTTGAAGGACAGGTTCAGCTGTTATGGAATATAAATCCACAGAGCCCATTCAGAAGCTAAAAATACTCCCAAGGCTTCCATCTTTTAATGCTTTTGATTTGGTAAAAACAAGATTTTTATCCTCATGGTGAAGAGTTTTGCAGCGTTGTGCAGATTTTATCAGTGAGTTGAGAATGTGGAGCAGTGAAGGTTAACCTGCTCAAAACAGCCACATTTGTAAAGCTGCAGGAGACAGCTATTTTTCTATTGATTAATCATCATTTTACAGATTAATAGGGACGTTTTAAGCTCATTTTATTGTGACAAACTGTTTGTTATTGTACAGTGTGGCTCCGTATTAGATGGGAAACAAAGATTTACTTATGAAAAACTAAAGAAATGTCCAAAAGGATTCCAAGTTTCTATCAAACCCAAGCACAGAGCAGCTAAAGAAACTCCTTTTCTCCTTGATGTGTCGTTGTTCTCTTTGAATCGTGTGAAAATATCGCAGGATTCACCGCACAGCTGTCGTCTGATTGCAGGTCTGACAGAATAAAATCAGGGAAAAATCTGTAAATAAGAGCAGCTTTATTGTGGATTCAGCTGCGTTAAAGCATTCGTGAGCCCAGAGAGCAGGAGAGAAGCGAACACATGTACAGTGTTTCCTGTGTGTTTTATCTCCTCAGGTGTTACTGTAATATAACACCAAAACTCTTAGACACCACCTTTATATTCTGTAATATTTTATGGTTCGACCAGATTCTCAAAGCTTTTGTTGTTTGGAAACTTTGTCAGACTTTTCTACTAAAACTGTAGCTCTGGCTGCAGCTGCTCAAACACTGGAGCCAGAAACACAGTGATGCTGAAGGAAAACATTCGTTGTAATGAAGTTAAGTTGAAAACTAACAATACTGATGCATCGACGTCTAAGTGCAGCAGCTTTCAACAGTCACACCGGCAGGAAACTTCCAGGAAATGCACCTTCTGGTTACTAGAAATAAACTTCTGAAGCACTAAATGTAGAAATGGTCTTTCTTTGTGTCCACAGAAAAGGCCGACGACATCCCCGGCGCCGTGACCCACGAGATCGTCACGTCCGAGCCTCCCGACGTGCTGATCAAGTGGAACGCTCCCCGATCTCCCAACGGCCTCATCATCCTGTACGAGGTTTTCTACAGGAGGGTCGGAGACTCAGAGGTCAGTGCCAGCAGCGCTAAAAACGAACGGGGCACAGAGGTGATGGAGAGGGCAAGAAATGAGTCTCTGTAGGAAGTTAAAAAAACAAAAACTCAGGGAGCAGAGAAGCTGAGACGAAATGCAGCGAGAAGCAGCAGTGATGTGCTGCGAGGCTCTGGGGAGGAAGGCAGAGAGGAAAGGTTTGTTGTGTACACTCTGTCTGTTCCTTAGACGGAGGCAGGAACAAAGGAAATATTTGTTTACAACCTCCCGATGCTGCCTCTGTGTGTGTGTGTGTGTGTGTGTGTTGACGTTTTCCGCTGCGTGTGTTTGCATATTAAAATTTCATAGCGTTTGTGTGTGTTCGGAGCGTCGCCGTCGTTGTTGTTGTTGTTGTTTACTTGCTGTAAATGTGTGAATTCATCTCTCATTGCTATTCATCGCTGCACCGCCTGACCCTAGGAGCCGGTAGCAGCTCTGTTACCATAGTGACAGAGGCAGGAAGGAAGACTAGGATGCAGTGGCAGCGACGGACTCGCATCTCAGACGACATCTTCCGCTCTGAGAGAAACGCGCCGGCCCGACGCCCCGCGGCCCAAACAAACCGGGCCCGGCGCTGGTTTTAGGCGACGTCGAGAGCGTGCCGCGGGTTTAGATTAATTATTTAGTTTTGCTGCTGCCGCCGTGGCGAAAGAGTTTAACATGATTGATTTGTTTCATCTACAATCAATCAAATCTACTAAAAATAAATACATAAATAAATCCCACCTGACCTCCTCTGGATCCGATGTTTTTATCACTTTTTAAATTTCAATTACTTTATTTTTTGGGGGGCAAATTTCAGCCCTAACTTCATAAGGGGCTGCAAGGTGGTTCGGTGGTTAGCACCGTCGCCTCGCAGTAAGAAGGTCGCCGGTTCGCGTCCCGGTGAGGACACCCGGGATCTTTCTGCGTGGGTTCTCTCCGGGTTCTCCGGCTTCCAAAAACATGTTGAGGTTAATTGGTGATTCTAAATTGTCCGTAGGTGTGAATGTGAGTGTGCTTGGTTGTCTGTCTCTAAGTGTAGCCCTGTGATCGACTGGTTACCTGTCCAGGTGAACCTGCCTTCACCCTGAGTCAGCTGGGATAGACTCCAGCCCCCCACGACCCTAGTGAGGATTAAGCAGTGGATAGATGATGAATGAAAATTAAATAAAATTATAGTTTTCTCTGCTGAAGTATAAGAAAACAAATATTAAATCCATCCAATTCAATAGATATCCTATATAATATGATATAACATAATGTAATATAATCCAGTTTCAGAAAAAAAAGAACTAAAAACGCCCATAAAATCAACAAAATTACACCATTTATTTGATCCAGAAACTGTAAAAACAGAAAAAAATGCTGGATTTTCACCTTTTTAAGTGATCATATGTGACTTTTGTTTCTTTCAGGACCAACAGCAACCAAATCTGAGCTTAAAATCAGAATCATCCCTCAAAGTCACTGCATTCTGCTTGTCCCAGTAAAATGAGACGTGTGTGGAAATCCATCCAATATATCCTAAAAACTTTATCCTCAAAGTTGGTTACAGCAATAAAAAACTAAAAACAGATTTAGTGTTTATATTGTGACGCTCAAAGTGGATGTACAACTGATTTGGTTGCTTTAATTGACTACTGCAACCGTACAAAATGGATTTCACTGTTTGAAATTACAATTTTTCCCCCATTTTTAATATAAATTTCAATATATGAATGTGTTTTTTCTGTTAATCTGGAGGCTGTTATTTATCGCCTACATTTTGATCGCAGGCTCATCTTCTAGCCGCGATTCATCCGACTGTGTTTGCTGCAGTTCAACTGTAGAAACTCTGATGCATCCCATAATACTGATGCTCAAAGCTGGAGAAAAATGAACTAAAAACAGATTTAGTGTAGAACTGATGAGGCTCAGAAATGATGCAAAAAGTGATACAGATTGAAAAAAAAGCAGAATTTCCACCCTCCTCTGTGCACTTCAAGGACGTGTGACTAAAAATATGAACAGTATGAAGGTAAAACTTTATTAAATATACTGAAGTCTGCTGGTTCTGAGGAGGTCAGAAGCTGCGAATATGAAAACGTTTGCAGCTTTTATTCCTTTATATATTATTATATTAAGTACAGAACATCTGACAAGTCCACTGAGAAAGAAAGCAGAATATTTTGCAGTATCAGGTGTCAAACATTTTTTATTTCTTCTCGTTTCAGACGTCAGAGTTTGACCAAGCTGCTGTTTAGATAAATGAAGTTTGTGATTTGTATAAAAACTTGTCGTATCCTGACATAGAAAACCCTCCCAGCATGCACCAGGGGCTCTCATGACCTTGTTCTCCACGACGTTTCCGCCTCTCACACACTGCCGCCGTTCTTCTGCGTCTGCACTGCCCGGCCCGGATCGGTCCGACATCCAGAAACCGGCTCTTCTCGTTGTTCTCGGTCGCTCCGGTTCTCAAGTTGCAAAGACGGGGTCGTGTGAAAACGCTCCTACGTGCATGTAATTAGATCCGCAAAAGGAAATTACAGGTTTAATTTAGTATGAAGTCGAGTCGAGGCTCTTTTTCTCTCTCCTCTTACTGGCCGGGTCACAGTTGGGTAATTAGACTCTCCTTTACTCGGCGGCGCACAGTGTTCGTCATTATTCCTCCTCCCGCTCAAAGTGTGCGTTTTTTGTGTGTGTTTTCTGTCCAGGATCACACAGCCTGTGTGTCACGGCCGGCTTACCTCAAGTCAAACGGCACAAAGCTTTCTCTTGTGCAGCCTGGAAACTACAGCGTGAGGGTCCGGGCCACCTCCCTGGCTGGAAACGGCTCCTTCACAGAAGTCACGTACTTCTTCATGCCCAACCGTAAGTCTGCAGGATCTGAGCCCGACTGAGCCGAACGCACAGGAGGCGTTTTGTTATTCAGCTTCAGCAGAGCGTCTCCTTCAGGACTTTTCGTTGTCTTTTCATACTTTTAGACCTCAGAATTAACTGACAGACGATAACTTCTTCTTCTTCTTCTCTTGTTTTTTTTTATTGCAGCGGATCCCGGTTTGGTTTGGATCGTCATCGGTCCGGTCATCTGCTTCATCCTGCTGCTGTTCGTGGCCGGTGGAGTCTTCGTCATCTTCAAGAAGAGGTGAGACCTTAGACCGGGATGCTGCCCATCAGAATAAACTTTAAAGAGACACGACGGTCTTTTGTTTAAGCCTCTGAACCCCGAAACCTGCAGACGGATTTAAAATCAGTTGAAAAAAATCACCAATATTACACCTTTTATCACAAACTATTAAAAAAAAAATCAGGATTTTCAGCTTTCCAACAGTCCTTTAACTAATCATGTGTGACTTTTGGTTTTGTCTGGAAAAACAAACAAATCTGAGCTTAAAATTGTAATATTTCATCAAAATCGCTCTATTCTACGTGTCTCATTTATAAATATTCAAAAAATAAACTGATTGCAGTCATAAAATTCTGTTAAAAAAAACTAAAATTGTGAAGCCATGAGTGACACGCCGGTGAGCAACAGTCACGAGGCAAAAATTCAGGAACTTGTCGGCTGAACTGCAGGCAGTGTTCACACAGAGCAGAGAGGAAACCAATTAAAAATGTAAATATTAAAATGTCTACAACATGTAGAGACGCCGTTTATTGTCCTAGTGTTGGTAGCACCTGTAGGAAAAGCTTCTACGTGTTGATTTCAGACTTTTTCAGTGATTTTTTAAAAAAAATAATCTAAGAAATTTAGCTTTTTTTTTCTTTTTTTTTTTTATTTTCATCATTCTAACGATATGTTTTAGTTTCTCTACTTCTAGTCGTGGTTCTGCTGCTACCACAGAGGTGCAGGATTTTATATTGAAGTGAAAGATGAGCCCACAGGGAAGAAAAATGTGATAAAAGTATTTTAAAAAAAAATCTAGGAATTGCTGAGTTCAGAGGGTTCATAAAACCGAGAAGAGATTTTAGAGTTAAATGCTTTTAAGTTGTATTTTAAAAGACAGATTCTAGTGAGAAACAAGTTCACATTTTAACACAGCTGATGTTTTCTGTTCCAGGCAAACTGAAGGTCCACTCGGAGATCTCATCACGTCGCCGAACCCCGAGTACTTCAGCGCCAACGACAGTAAGAACATCACAGAACACGGCTGCTCAAGCTGCCTTTTTTTGGGTAAAATAACCTCTGAATAACGCTAACTGTTTGGTCCGCTTCGTGCAGTGTACGTTCCCGACGAGTGGGAGGTTCCTCGGGAGAAGATCACGCTGCTCAGAGAGCTCGGCCAGGGCTCCTTCGGGATGGTGTACGAAGGGATCGCCAAGGACATCGTGAAGGGAGACCCGGAGACGCGCGTCGCCGTCAAAACGGTCAACGAGTCGGCCAGCCTGCGGGAGAGGATCGAGTTCCTGAACGAGGCCTCCGTGATGAAGGCCTTCAGCTGTCACCACGTGGTACGACGAGCTCCCCGAGCCTCACCGCTGCCCAACACGCGTGACTCACAGACGTGCTCGCTGTGCCGACGCTGCCGTACCGACACACAGTTTGACGACACAAACAGACGCTAAGCGATTGTGCCTCACATTACTGTTTTATTACACAACCTGCTAAGCACCAATTAGAGGCCATATGCTGAGCTGTCAGCCGTAAAAGTCCTGATGCAGGAGAGAATTTTATCATCTACTTAGTGATGAAGGGAGAGTTCACACCGGAGCAGCGATTTATCTTCGTCTCACCCTGAAAACCCTGAACAGCGCCTCCACTCCGAGCCGTTCGAGGTGTCGGCGGATGCAGGATTGGCTTGTAAATAAGATGCACGGCGCCGCATTGAGCTCAGTAACGACATGTTTTTCAAATCCAGCAACATGTCGTCGGTTTGATTCCATATGTTGAGGTTTAAGCCTCTGAACTCTGCATGTTTTACACATTTTGCACTGCAGTATAAAATCCTGCACCTTTATAGAAGCAGAACAGGAGCAGTGAGAGCTTAACTTGATTATTAATTTTACAAAAATTGCACACACAAAAAAAATAGGAATCAAGATGTGCAGCATTGTGTCCACACATCTTGCAAATACCGGACTGAAACGTTGGCTTATGCATATTTTACTATTTACATTTTTGTGTTTTGTCGACCGAACACTTGCTGAATTTTTGTTACTGTTAACTGCAGCTGAGCTACTTATAACTTCTCCAACAAGTGCAGAATATTTAGTTTTTTACAGTTTCTGCTCGGTGCAGACGCTTTGGTTTTGGTAAAATTTTTGAACAACAGATGCAGAAAAAAAGCATTTTTGATGAAATCTGGTTATTTTATGCTCGGACTTGGTTCATTTTTCCAACAAAAGCATGAAAATTCAACGATTCTTTCAGTCTTTGTGGTTTCTGGCTCTTATAAATGATGTAATTTTGGAATTTTCTTCAAGCTCGTCTTTTTTGTATTATTTTAAAATACAGTCTAGATTTGAACAATCCGTCTAAACACGTCTAGTCCGTGTTTATTTGTCCTCGTGTGTGATGACGTGTGTGTTCGTCGTCTGCAGGTGCGTCTGCTGGGCGTCGTGTCTAAAGGTCAGCCCACCCTGGTCGTGATGGAGCTCATGACCCACGGCGACCTGAAGAGCTACCTGAGGAGCCTCAGGCCGGACTCGGAGGTGCGTAGCTCGGTTTGCTTTATATCCAATGCATAAATGCTGAAATAAAACGTCCTGAAGCCTGCCTCCACAAACCCGTCTGTACCTCCACACGCGACTCTCAAACTTCTTTCGTGTGTTTTGCAGAACAACCCGTCGGGCTCCCCTCCCCCGACTCTGAAGGACATGCTGCAGATGGCTGCAGAGATCGCCGACGGCATGGCCTACCTCAACGCCAAGAAGTTCGTCCACAGAGACCTGGCGGCCCGGAACTGCATGGTGGCCGAGGACTTCACCGTCAAGATCGGAGGTACCGGAGCCGGACTCGTTGCACCTTCTAGATTTTTTTAGTGGAATATACTTAGTGAGACAGGATGGATTCATGAGCAGGATGTTGTCTTCATCTCCTCTCTCCTCTCTCCTCCTCTTCCTCGCAGACTTCGGTATGACCCGGGACATCTACGAGACCGACTACTACCGTAAAGGAGGGAAGGGGCTGCTGCCGGTCCGGTGGATGGCTCCGGAGTCCCTGAAGGACGGAGTCTTCACCGCCCACTCTGACTGCTGGTACGTGGCACCTGAGCAGGTGCAGGTTCAGTGATCCTGGCTGGAGCGTCCGATCACCTGAGTTTGTTTGTTTGTGTTTGTGTGTGCAGGTCCTTCGGGGTCGTGCTGTGGGAGATCAGCACGCTAGCAGAGCAGCCTTACCAGGGTCTGTCCAACGAGCAGGTCCTGAAGTTCGTCATGGACGGAGGATACCTGGACCGGCCGGACAACTGCCCCGAGAGGATGTGAGTGATTATTTATTGGTGGGTTCAGAGGGTTGATCTGCGTCTTTCCGTCTTGCTTAAACCTCTCTATCTGCTATCTTTAACCGGCCCTCCTCCCAGGCACAACCTGATGCAGATGTGCTGGCAGTACAACCCCAAGATGCGGCCGATGTTCCACGAGATCATCGAGATGCTGCGGGAGGAGCTGCACCCGTCCTTCCAGGAGGTCTCCTTCTTCTACAGCGAGGAGAACAAAGTCCCCGAGACGGAGGAGTTCGACCTGGACCTGGACAACATGGAGAGCATCCCCCTGGACCCGTCGTCGTACTCCCAGAGAGAGGAGAGCTTAGGCAGGGACAGCGGGCCGTCGGTGGGCCTGAGGGGGAACTATGAGGAGCACGTGCCCTACACGCATATGAACGGTGGCAAGAAAAACGGAAGAATCTTATCGTTGCCCAGATCCAGCCCTTCCTAACATTTCCTTTTTCCTACGAGAACTTGTTCCCCTTCCTCTCCTCCCCCATCTCTCTCTCTCTATTCTCTCTCTCTCTCTCTCTCTTCCAGTCCATTTTTCTGTATCCTTCATGTTCCTCTCCTCATTTTCTAATGATTTTCTTATTCTTGGAGAAGCCCTTCAAAAGAAAAAAGAAAAAAGAAAAAAAAAACAAACAGACACAGATCTCAGGACTTTTTATTTTACTTCCTCACGGCTGCCGAACAGCAAGGGATGCAAACATGGTGTTTTTTAAAACTTGCTCCACAACACGTCGGACTTATTACCAGAATCTATTGTTTTTCACTATCGCCACGTTTCCAGGACTCCTTGTGACGGAAACAGAGGAAAAAAAAAACTGTGAACACAACAAACCTTAGACAACCAAGAAGGCTGCTCATGCTCGACCTCCTCCAGACTCCCACCGATCTGCATTTCCACGTTTCTGTTTTTCCTCCCAAGTGAAATCTTTTTACTCAGATAGTGGCCTTTTTATACGTGGCCTATAAAAAAAGAGAGAAGTGTCTATCAGCGCTTACACTAATTTCCTTTTTTTTTTTGAACAATGATTTAATCAGCGGGATGACTTGATCCTAGAACAAACATCTATTCCTCGAGGAATGTGTTTTATTTTTGTTGTTTTCCTTTTTGGTTCTGCAGAATTCCAAACTACACACAGATTCATCGGGTGTTTGGTGAATAGTTTTAATTTATTTGCTTTATTTTCTTCTTCTTCTTCTTCTTCTTTCTCGTTTTATTTCTGTGTCCTCACTATACGGCTGAAGGATATTTAAACAGTTAAGATTTGGAGAAAAGAGTTCCTCAGACTGACCAATAGCTGCTGCTTTGATATATTTTAGTGGGTATAGAAATATATAAATATATATAATATATATAGTATATATGGAATATTGGTGTTTCGCTACCAATATTTTATATATAATATATGACATTGATGTTTTCTTTTTTTTGTAAATAGTTCATATTTGTAATATTTTTCATCAGAAGCTTTGCTAGTATTTTGTTTTGTCGGGTTTATTTTTTATTTTTATTTTTTATTTTTATAGCCCCAGAAATCACACTAATCTACCGTTAGTGCTCTCTGTGTCTTATCAGGCCTCCAGCCTCCCTCGATGCTCGCTCCGTCTGGATGGGAAACGGGGAAAAGCCCCCGACTATCGTAAACTCACTGCATCGTTTTTATTCTTATTGTTTTCTACAGACCGTGTTCCCACTGAGAGCGCTCAACGTTTGGAGGCAACTTCACTACAGCTACGGAAAAAAAAAAACTAACAGAATAACCAAAAAGAAGCTTTACAAACGGGGAATGAGGTCTTTCTAGGTCAAAGTGCGCCTGGTGTGTGTTCGTCTTTGTGTCTTTCTCTGGTCGGATCGCGGTCGTGGACTCGACGTCTTTTTTTGTGCTGTCAGCTGTCGGCGAGGTCGGAGAGTCGCGGCTTCAGAAACAGGAAGTGAAAGCAGGAGACGGGTCGCTGGGGGGGATGTCCTGATCCGGTCGGTAGCAAATCTAATCCTGTAATTAGTTTAAGCTGGCTGTCGCACAGTCATCGGAACGCACAATTTGTAGAAGGACGCTAAAAATTCGGATATTGAGCATCGTAGCCACGGTTTGGTCAGAAACAAAGCTGCTCCTGTTAATCCCAGTCAGCTTTAGACACATCAGCGCTGGTCGGAGCTCATTAACAACCACATGAGTCTCTGTCATGGTGCCCGTTGCTAACTGAAGCCCCACAGCGCCCCCTGGTTGCCAACATGACTGATGGCAGAGAGGCTCCACCTGGTGGCGCAACTGAACAACACAATGCGATTTCTAGCCTGCATGTAGAGACTTCTGCTGACTTTCAGAGCTCGTGGAGCTTCGGTACATCCTGTTTGATTCACCGGAGAGCTGCTTTGTCATTCGGCTTTCTTCTCCCATTTAGTTTTTGAAAATCCTCGACAACAAAACCTCCAAAAAAGCAACATACCACAGTGAAAATGTTTAATTTTGCCAAATTCAGGCAACCCTGCTGGTAGTTTTTGGCTGAGCTGCCCGTTTTTAAGGCGATGCTCGTCCCCCTTTTAACCCAAACCAATCCACTAGTCACTACTCCACTGTGATTGGTTTACAGAAATACAAACGAGCCAATGGTGCGACAGCCCATCTGTACTCGCTAACAGCACACCTGAGCCTCTCAGCGCTACATGTTAGCTTCATCATAAGATTCCTGACCACCTGCAGGACATCAAGGAGCAGAAATTGAACACCTTTAATGTGTCATATCCACTAAAATGCTATCAGGTGAACATTAAACGACTCGGATCGGGACATCCCTGCTTCACCGGAGAGCGTTCGCTTCCTGTCTGCTGGTTCAGGACGTGGGTCAGAAGGGTTTATCAGATCCTCACCAATCCTGAACCCACCTCGGTCTTCCTGAGGCTCCCTGAATCAGCTCAGTGGAAATTTCCATGTTTTGCGGTTCAAAGGGGGCCGAAGAGAGAAAAAACTGTCCAGCAGCAGGTGGAGGAACGAGAGAGGAGCTGATGGTTAATCCTGTTATTCTGTCTGATGCAGTTCAGCAGTCAGGACGCGGTGTGCAGCAGCTATTTCACTCAGGTCTGACATTCCAGGATTTAGTTGGAACTCCTCGTCCTCCTGTTTCGCTGGCAGAGCTGCCGCCGCGATCAGCTCCTCGTTGGATGATCAGAAACATTCCTGAAGCAGCTGAAGGTGTCCTCGACTCCTCATCCAGACCCCAGAGAGGTTAGCTAGTGGCGCTGGTGTTTTCTGACCGGTGTGCGGTTGCCAATCGTACGGCATTCAGCACTTACAGCACAGCCAAAGCGTTGGCGGCTCTCCGTCGACGGCGAGAACCCGCGGAGTCGAGAAAAACCCGAGAAAGCCGAGAAGCTGCCTCCATGTTTTTACCAGTGCCTTCTCAAACCCAGAGCCGCTTCCGGGCTGATTTCATTGGCTGAACGACACACGTGAGGCCCGAGAGGCGCGAGAATCAAAACGCTGCATCGACATTTAGTGTTTGTAGGATCAGTTCTCTGCTGCAGACAACAACAACAAAAGGCAGGTTTATTTTTTGTGTTTTTTTCGTTCGGACGTTCACGCAGTGCTTTAGCGGCGACACTGTGGAGGCGCCCGAGGTTCGGATTTCCATCTTTTGTACTTTGTAAATAATCATCGTTTGGAAAACACGTGACAGAAGAGCGGCGGATCTCGTCCACGCTGTAAAGTCCTTTTCGCTTCATTTCCCGGCGTCGCGGCGGGACGCGCCTCTCGCCTCCACCTTTGACCTAGGTTGCTTATCTCGTGGTGGTGTTCACACGCATATGCAATTTTTAATTAAGATGGTGCCCATATCTTTGAAATACCAGATATTTATTTTATTATGATCATTGTCATTGTATAAGAAGAACACAGTTAGCTTTGTGGTTGTTTTTGTTGTGTTTCTGAGAGCGGAGCGATGTGTTTGTTGTTGCTGAGCGGCGGTGAGCGGCAGGATTTAGTTCTAGCTAGTCAGTAATTTGTCGTCGTCGTCTTTGTGTTTTTTTTGGCCAGAGTCTACCTCAGTGCATATGGAGGAATCAGTCTAAAGAGCCGACATCGTCCCCGTCACTCACTCTGTTCACGTCTAACATCACTTTGTCGCTGATGAATTCCTTCGAACCCACATTTTGTCCTCAGTTTTGCTTCTTCTCGTGTCCCAGGAAGAGGCGGGAAGCTTCACTCGACTCCTGTGATTCAAAGATTTTCTTTGAGTTTGCAGCTCGTCTCCAAACTTTTCGGAGCAGAAGCGAGCGACGCCTCCCTCCTCCTCCGGCCACTAGAAGAAGCAGCAGCGTAGCTTTACTGTGTGTGTTGTTCCCCCTTCGTCCATCATCACCACCACCGATCCTCCAGACTGTATGTCGTAGCGGCTCTACTGATATCTGTGGATGTGACATGAAGCGTGACTCAGTGCACGTCTGTGATCACCTACATGCAGCCTCGTTTCTGTTCAGTTTGTTTTTAAATCACATCTGGAAGCCCTACTCTGTCGATCTGTGTCTTTGTGGTCGAGAAACAAACCCCACGTCTCCTCCCGTCTCTGTTCTGATCAGTTTTTTTTTTGTTTCGTGTGTGTGTAAATATCTATTTTTTTTTCTACTGTGAATATCAAGAGATGACCTTTATTTTCTGTCGACGCCATGGATCGGGTCCGTCGCGGGCGGATCACACGTCTGGGCTGGTTATAAAGTTTTAAAGAGGAGGACGTCCTCCGACTCCCCCATCCCCTCACCCCCGACTCTGTAAAGGAGAGAGAAGCTGGACTGGGACAATCCTGTGTGCCATAAGAACTATTAACTGACATGAAATCTAGATTGTAAACCTTTTTTCGTCTCAGGGAGGCGGCCTGATGCTTTTTGTTGTGGTTGGAAGGATAAAGAGGACGAGGAGGAAGAAGAAGAGCGACCTACCTACCTGTTATCTGCTCTGACTGAAGTTCTCAGCATCCTTGCAAAAAAAAAAAATTAAAAAGAAAAAAAAAAAGCGGTGTTGACATGAGAAGCCCCAAAGGACAAGTTTTCAACAAGAGAGAGGGAGAAAAATTTTTTTTTTCATAAATCTGAATTTGCCCTGTGAAGATAATCAGGAGTCCTCCTCTGGCGCCCTCTAGCGGCCGGACGGGAGCGTCGCAGGTCAGCGGTGGCGAAGCTAACAGGGCCCCCCGACCCACAGTGCCTTGCTCGGACTAACAGCCCCACCTGACCCCTCCCACACCTGAGCTGTGTCTCCACCAATCACCGAAGAGGATTTCCCTCCAAACCTGAAATGAATTCTGTTGTTATTATTATTTTTTTATATATATATCTATCTATAAAAATGCATTTTCTTTAGTTGTACCTGCAGTGAAAAACATTCTGCTTGTTGACAAACAAAAATACTGTAATTTGGGTTTCATGACTGATGATTTTTACCAAAAAATGAAAAAAAAAAAGAGAAGAAAAAAACAAAGTGTTGTGTCTCTGCTCTGCTGAGCTTCTGGCTTTGCTTCGTGCATGGAAGATGCTTGACAATTAGATTTCTTTGTGCTCCTCATCAGTCCGGCGTCGCCCCGAAAACAAAAAAAACAAACAAACAAAAAACATCGGCAACAACAAGCGGTTACAGTTTGGGATTCATTTGTTCCACCATTTTTTTTTTTTTTTGCAGAACCGATAAATAAGCTCTTAAACTGTAAATAGCAGCAGATTTTTATTTTTATTTTTTATTTTATTTTTTTGGCCCCCGATAAACACAAAGCACTTGATTTGAGGGAGTCGTGTTTTGTTGAGCTCTGGTTGGACGAACACGTCGGTGACGCAGCGCAGGGTGAGAACAAAGCATCCCATGTATTATTGTTTTAAAGATTTAAAAAAGAAAAGAAAAAAAAAAGTATTACATTTTAGAGATGTTGATTTCTATTTTTTTTAGCCAAACTAGGAGGACAAATTACTTTTCTTCTGACTGTAAAACTTTTACTACTCTTGTACATTATGAATTTAACATTGTTATCAATGTGTATATAACTCTTTTTTTTTTTCTAAATTTAAAGAGAGATAGATTTTTTTTTTTTTTCTTTTCACGACACAACCCACAGAAGAGAGCCGAGTGTGTTCGAGGGCTGCGCGACACGACGCCAACAGAAACCTTTTTTTTTAAATCCGATGCATGTTCTGAATGTTGGCCGAAGTTTAGAATAAAAAACTGGAGGCCACGAAAGCAGCCGGTCACAGCAGCACGTCACCCGTAAAGCCTTTTGTTTTCTCTCTTCGTCGTGTCACAGGTTCATCACCGATCACAGATGTGTTGTTGTTGTTTTTGTATGAAATTGTGTCTGACATGAGACCTGAGTGTAGTTTGCAAATGTGTTTTTTTTTTATTTTGAATTACGTGAAAAACTGGAAAAGACCACTGCACATCCTTTTTGAAGAAGAGGAAACACGAGTGATAAAATCCTGAATAAGCTAAAAACATAATAATAATAATCAATAAATCTTGTG